CAATTTTTTATGGAGGCAGCAGCTCAGTTTCTACACAGCATGATAGACCAGCCGAGGGTCTCCGTGTGCTCATGTTGGGTGGGACAGAACCTTCGGCTCTTGTGAAACTGTTCACCCACAAGCCCATTCGTTAAATAACAGTGGGCCACAGAGAAGGAAGGTGGCAAAGCCGGTGAGAAGCAGGGAAGACAACTCCATTGCTACCTTTAGGGGTTCACAGCTGCCCCCCACAGCTGGAAGAGCAGTTTTAACTGCCAGTCTCGTGCGACGAAGAAGAACCCAGCCCTTCCACCCATTGAAGGTGCGTGCGAGACCCAAGCCTTCCCAAAGGCATGGCATCGCCGGTTCATGGTGAGGCGAGACTGAACCGCCAACTCCACACAAGCCACACAGGGAAGGATTCTTGCTTTTGGTCCCATCGCATTCCCTTCCGTGCCTGCACGCTAAGCTAGGCGAGTCAGGAGTATAGTATAGCAGAACACCTCCAGCACTCCTCTGCCACCTCCCTTGCCCCTTAGCGCCCTCCTGTGGCCCCACTTCCTCTTAGCGCCCCCTAAGTCATCCCACTGCCCCCCAGGGGGTGGTACCACCCACTTTGGGAACCACTGGTTTAGATAAACAGTCTCCAACATTTCTGTCTTTGCAGATTGGGGCGGGGGGGGGAGGGATGGTTCTGCATGAGCAATAGGCATGCACATGTATATGCGCAATTCTATTTACACAAGCAGCAAGCATATGTGCCTCTGCTGCTCAAACAAATGAAGTTGCATGTGTCTCAAATGGAGCTGCACACTCACACAAATGGATAGTGGGCCACAGCCCAAGGGTTGGGGACCCTGGTTTAGATGGAGTTAATCAGTTCAACTAAATTCATCTTTTTTCTGCTTTTGTCCTGTATTTGATGATTACAGGTTATTCCTCTAGCCTTGGCAATGTAGTCCTTGGTTTTATATATATATATTTGCAATTTGCAAATAAATTGGAAGTGCCTGGCAAAATTCTGAACCTATCTATCCAAGTAGCAGCAGCATGTCACTAGGCTTAATCAAGAAGTGTATTGTGAAGCATTACTAAAGCTTTTAAAATTAATGCTAAAAAAAAGTGGCTTCTTCAACTTGACCAATGCAGACAATTATATAAGCTGGAAGAAATATTTTTTTCTACTCCCGAATTCATAGGATAGTCACCTTCAAAAAAAAAAAAACAGACTGGAAAATTTTCTAAGAATTAGCTTTCTACATTAGTCTATAAATATTTAAGGTTTACATACACT